GGTGGTCAGATCCGCGACGGTGGCTCGGGGCAGTGAAGTCGGGGGTGAAGCCGGTCGCCGCAAGCCGGAAGGCGGCGATCACATCGTTGTACACCTTGCAGCGCGAGAAGTCATACCGGCCTTGAATGTTGTGGAGGCAGTCGATGTGTTCGACGTTGCGTCGGGGCCGAGCGTTGGGTAGCCGTCCGTCCTGATCTTCCACTGCCAGGGAAGACGTCAGCTTGTCGTCACGAGGAGGCCGTACCGGCACAACTCCTTCGTCTCTGAATTGCTGAGGCTGGACGACCAGGCGCTCGGGCGTCGTCGTTGTCGCCGGCGCTGCTGCTCCCGTGGTGGTAGGACATCGCCGGTGCTGTGCTGGATTTCTCACCGGCAGTGGGTTTGAGGTCGGGTGTGGGGGGCCGACGGTGGGGCATGTTCATATAGCCGTCCGGGTAACGGGAGGTGGGCGACCGGGCTAGCAGTCGGCATTACTGCTCATTAATGCGGGTGTCTCGGGGCGGGATGGGACTATGGGACGGGACGATGGGGGTGGAAGGCAAGGCGGCCGTCGACGGGATGGGGCGTCGGGGTGGCAGATGATGCACTTTCCCAGGACGTGCTTTCCCCGAGGTGACGCGTGGCGGTTTGACCGGACGTCATGCCGGGTATGTGGGTGACGTGTACGTGGTGACATGTTGAAGCACGTTTTGCCGTCCGCTGGCTAACGACAAAGTCTGACGTTAGCCACCTAACGTGACTAACGTCGGTTCTTTGTCATCTACCTTCTTCATCATCCATTACCGACGACAAAGGGTCTTTGCCGTCCGCTGTCACAAAATAGACGACAAAGAAACTCTTTGCCAGTGTTTACAACGCCGGACACGTTTGTCGTCCACGGCTGACGGCAAAGAGTTTTGTCGTCAGCTTTGTGGCTCTTTGCCGTCTGCCGTGGCAGACAGCAAAATAGCTGATTCCTGTAGTGCATTAAATTTGTCTTTCAATGGTGCCATCTGTGTGTGGGGTGGGCTTTAGGCCCATCCAACAATTTCAGAAAAATCACTAAGAGCCCATGTGGGTTATATGGCACTAGTGTTGGGGAACACAGTAATTTCAAAAAAAATTCCTACGCACACGCAAGATCATGGTGATGCATAGCAACGAGAGGGGAGAGTATCATCTACGTACCCTCATAGACCGTAAGCGGAAGCGTTATGACAATGCGCTTGATGTAGTCGTAAGTCTTCACGATCGACCGATCTAGCATCGAAGGTACGACACCTCCGCGATCGGCACACGCTCGGCTCAGTGACGTCCCGCGAATTCATGATCCATTAGATCTTC